ACACATATGGGAAAATAAATCCCCATATATAAAGGGGAAAATAAATCCCCATATATAAATGGGAAAATAAATCCCCATATATAAATGGGAAAATAAATCCCTACATATATATGTATTTATATATATGGGAAAATAAATCCATATATATACATACATGGGAAAATAAACACAGCTATATATATGGGAAAATAAACCCAGCTATATATGGGAAATGCAGAATTGCAGCCCTCCCTTGCCGGGGCAGGGGATCCCCACTGACAGCTCTGAGCACCCCAACACCTCCAGGTCACTGCTGGGGAGGAGCTCTGCGTTCCCTCATGCTCCTCCTCTCCAATCCCAAAACTGGGTTGGGATTCCGGCCACAAATTCTGGATAAATCCCATTTTCCTTCCTCTTCCTGTTCCTCCTCTCTCCAAATCCAAATTTGGGTTGGGATTCCTGCCACAGACTCTGGATAAATCCTATTTTACTTCATATTCCTCCTCTCTAATCCCCAAACTGGGTTGGGATTCCGGCCACAAATTCTGGATAAATCCTGTTTTACTTCATATTCCTCATCTCCCAAATTTGGGTCCAGATTCCAGCCACAAACACTGCATAAATCCCATTTTCCTTTGTGTTCCTGTTCCTCCTCTCCCAAAACTGGGTTGGGATTCCAACCACAATCCCTGCATAGATCCCATTTTCCTTCAGATTCCTTCTCTCTGATCCCAAAATGACATTGGGATTCCCACCACAAACTCTGAATAAATCCCATTTTCCTTCATGTTCCTCCACTCCAATTCCAATATGGGTTGGGATTCCTGCTACAAACTCTGGATAAATCCCATTTTCCCTCATATTCCTCCTTTCCAAGCCCAAAACAGGGTCGGCATCACTGCCAGAAACTCTGGCTAAATCCCATTTTACACCTCCAACAGCTCTGGGGGCTCAACATCACCCACTTAGGGCAGGATTTCACCCCAAATCCACATTTTTAAGGGATAAAACCCCGCTCTGGGGGGGTCCAAGGTGAGCAGCCCCTGACCTCACCTGGAATTATTTTTTTCCTGCAATCCCCAAAACAGGAGTGGGGCGGGTGACTCGCCCAGGAAATTCCTGCCTTGGCAGGAAATCCCAAATTCCTGAGTTTGGGCACCAGTTCCAGATGCCCAAGGGCACATTTTAAACCGGGCTCACCCCAAGGAGGAGTTTTGCCTTTTTTGTTTTAGGTTTTGCCTTATTTTTTCGGGTTTTGCCACTTCTTTCCCACAGGTTTTCCCCCTTTTATTTTTTTTTCAGGTTTTGCCACATTTTTTTTCCCAGGTTTTGCCCCTTTTTGTTGTTGTTGTGTTGTTTTGGGGCCTTTTATGTTGGTTTTTGAACCCCAAACCTGAGAGTTCCAGAGCTTTTTCCCACTTCTCTTCCAAACTTTTCACTTCCAAGGCCTCATTCCTACAAAATTCCTCCTTGACAACTCAAACCCACCTGGATCAGCCCCCCAAAAACATCCCAAAATTCTCCATGGACATCTTTGGTGGGATGTCCCCAACCCCCAGCCCATCCTGGGATACAAAGCATCCAAATCCCTGGATCAGGCTCAGCATTTCCTGGGAAAAGAGGGGGAAAAAAATCTTCTCCTACATCCTGAAAAAGTGATTTCCTTCCCAGTTCTGCAGAAAATTCCAGCAGGTCTGGAAAAATCCATCTCAGAGGGCAAAGATGGAGATATCCTACACCAAGCCTTGCTTCTCCTTGGATCCGAGCTCAGCCCTGGATTTCTGACTGAACTCTGGAAAATCCAGCTCCTGACTCGGTGCTCTGGGAATTTCTGGGATGGTTTTCCATCCGTGCCTGAATTCCTGATACTCCCTCAAACCTGCTGGTGGCTTTCTCAAATCCAAACCCCAGATTTGCCTCCTTAAATCCAAACCCCCAATTTTACCTCCTCAAATCCCCCCCCAGTTTTCCCAGATAATTTCCTTGCCGAGTCCTGCAGACAACACCGAGCAGATCCAAACAAAATTTACTGAAATAAAGTAAATTTTCCACCAACAAAAAGGATTTTTTTGGATGTGCCATTGATGCCTCTGGGCCCAGCATTCCAAAAACGGAGACCACCAGGGATCCTAAAGATGATTCCAGGAAAATTTTCCCGGTTTGGATGTGACCAGAGGATCCCAGACTGGTTTGGGTTGGGAGGGACCTTAAATCCTCTCTCACCCACACCATGGGACAGCTTCCACTGTCCCCAGCCAGACAGAACATTCCATGGACATTCCCTGAGTGACCAAACTCCACAGTCTGAAGAAACTCCAAAAAATTCCCACTCTGGGAAGGTTTCTCCCCGGCTTTGAGGTCTGGAGGAGCACCCCAGGAAAAGCAGGAACGATTTCTCCGGAGGAGCCACGCCTGCTCCCGTCTCCCCAACATCTCCCAGCTCCTCCCTGAGCATTCCCAAATTCATCAAAGCCTCCCCACGCCCTGCAGAGAATTCCAAAAGGAGCCCAACCCGTTCCGTGGCCGGATTTTCGCCTCCACCACGTGCCCGGGGCGCTTCCAAGCGTTCCCAATCCCAGGGAAGCTCCAAATCCATCTTGTTCCATGCCTGGTGGCACCTCTGGGGGGTTTGATCCTTGTCCCAACCCCTCTTCCCACCTGGTGGCACCTCTGGGGGGTTGGATTCCCATCCCAGCCCCTCTTCCCATCCGGCTGAGCGAATCCAAACACAGCAAAGCCATGGAATGTTCCTGCCCCATGGAAGTGGAGGAATTTCCATTCCTGGAGACACCTTCAATGTCCTCCAGCAAGGGTTGGGAGCTGGGAAAAAAACCTCTTTTGCTTGTTTTTTTTGGGGGTATCATTGGGATTTTCAAGCATCCATGAAAAAGAAACATTTTTCTCGCATCTCCCAGAAGAATGACAAAATATTCCATATATTGAGCATAATGTCCCAGGCCAGCAAAAATTGCTCATCCTGCGCCGTTCCCAACCTGGTGAATTCTCTTTTTTTTCCCCAGGAAAAGGATCCAAAGAGGATCCATGAGTCAGGTCCATCCTGCTGGCCATGGGTGGTCTCAGGTCCTGCACCCACCCTCCACTCCAGCTTGGTGTCCACCACTCCAGCAGGAAAAGTTATTTAAATAATTCATCACAATAATAATTAAACCCCTTTAAGATGCTCTGTGAGGAACTCTCGGTGTTTTGCACACGTTTAAAAGTGTCGGCTCCAATTAAGCCAAGCTTGTCAAAACCATTGAGTTAATTGTATTAATATTAAATAAATCTAAATATTAAATAATTTTATTAAAAATAAAATTAAATAAGGGGCCAGAGTTTCAGTGGCATCTCAGATTGAAGTTCTACTCTCCCACAAATCCAACCGATTTCAAACTATTTTAAAACTCAAAAAAACCCAGGAATTAGTTCTAATTTTCCAACTTCTGTTCTAGGTTTGCATCAGCCACTCGGGGAATGTTTCAAGCTGTTTAATAATTCAGTTTTTATGATTAGTATTTAATTTTTCCCCATGCATGTCTGGGTCGTGGAAGGTGATTCCACCTCTGCCAGAGCCCAGTGCCCCAAGCCTGGATCCATCTCCAGCGTGGGGCTGGGCAGTGACCAAAACTCCTGCCAGGCCAAAACCCTCAAGGAATAAAACAAAACCCAAAAAGAAACCCCAAAACCAAAAACCCCAAATCCCAAAAAAGCCTCAAAACCCCAATTTCCTTCCCCCAAGCAGCCTCAAAACCGAATAAATAACTCAAACCAAGGCCTACAACAGGACAGCTTTGGTTTATCCACAAGAATTCCCCCGTGAACGTCGGAATTTTGGGAGCAGCCAGGATTTTAACGGCATTTTCCCTGCCATGACCTGCTCCTGTCGTGGGATGGCTTTGATGTCACGGGCTAAAATTAAAACCTCTTTTGCTTGTGACTCTCATCAGCACCAGGGAGAGCAGGGAAGGCTTTTCCTGGGATCTAAAGGACGACAAAACTCATTTCCTTCCCACCAAAACCTCCAAAAAACGGCCCAGGAGAGGCCGTTCCCTGTGCCCACACCCAAATTCCCGAGGCCAGGGAAAGATCCTAAACCCACAGAAATCCCACACACCCCAAAGCCTCTCCAGGTGAATTTGGGCATGGGGCAGCCCCAGATTTTGGGGATAGTCCGGGAAGCAATTTCCCAATTTCTGCCTGTCATTCCGGGGAGCTCCATGGGCTGGAAGAGGCTCCACCAAGCCAGGCCCTGCTGCTGCCACCAACGGGCCAGAAATCCCCCGAAATTCAATATATTTCGCTCTTGCTGGCCCTGGAGTATCCATTCTGCTAAAATACAATTAAATCCAAGCATCCTTTCCCTGCATCCTGCTCCAGAAGGAATTAAAATGATAAATAATAAAGCAGAGCTTTACATACGGCTGAGACAGACGACAGAGGATAAAATTCCTGTCATGCCCAGAGGCTTTTCCCACACAGGATCAGACACATCTCCCCGAAGCATCCTGAGCCTGGAGCCCAAATTCCCTCCTCATCCCATTTTTATGCCGAGAAACCCCGATCCAGCATCTCCACGGCTCGGCAAGGGGGAAAAAATATATAAAAATCTCGAGTTCCGATTGCCTCGTTTCCCAATGAAACGATGCTCATCCACCGGGGGAAAACCAGCGAACCCCCTCCGGCAGCCGCGCACCCTCAGCTCCATCCTCCGTCAGCACAGCGGGGGAAAATGGGGATTTCGGGATGAAAAATGGGGATTTCGGGATGAAAAATGGGGATTTCAGGATAAAAATCCCGGCGGAGGAAGCGGCAGCTCGGCGGCAAAGCGGGAATTGGCAGAGCCCGAGCTGCCCACACAGGGCTGGCGATGGAATTGCAAATAACCTGATGGGCTCGGGATTATATCACCGGCCCGGAGCCTCGGGATTAGGGGGAGGGGAGGGTTGCATGGAGCGATTATTGAGGGAATTTTTAATTCGGGAAATAAATCATCCCCCCGCGGGAGAAGGCGCATCACCTACCTTCCATCATGGTGGCAGAATCGCATTCCTCAGTTCCCACGGAGCTGGAAAAACGCAGGAGAGGGCGAGCCCCGTTCAGCAGCGCCCGGCCTCGGGGGGGGAGGAGGAGGAGGAGGAGGAGGAGGAGGAGGAGGAGGAGGAGGAGGAGGAGGAGGAGGAGGAGGAGGAGGAGGAAGGAGCGGGTGCAGCAGTCAGGGCCAGGCCATGGATGCTGCTGCCTGGCTCGCTCCGGGCTGGCAGCGGAGGATGCTCGCAGGGAGGGGGCGAGGCGGGCTGGGCTCCGCACTCCTCACATGCGCTCTCGCTGCCGACACACCCCCGGGGAACGCTCCAACCTATTTCCCAGATTTTTGCTTTTTTTTTGATTTTTTCCCACCCCCCCAAACCTTCCCCAGCGCTGTTTTCCCCAAAAGCAGAACCCCTGTCCGCACCTCGTGACGCACTTCCCTTCCCTTAATCCTATTGCGGACAGACCGGGATTAATTCCCGGCGCTGTCAGATGGGGATGGGAAAAGGGGATGGGAAAAAATGGGGATCGGGGAAAAAAAAAAAGGGGACGGGGGAAAAGAATAATAAAGGGGGACAGGGGGAAAAGAATAATAAAGGGGGAGCGGGGGGGAAAATAATAATATACAGGGGAAAAAATAATATACGGGGGAAAAAATCATATACGGGGGGAAAAAATCATATACGGGGGGAAAAAATCATATACGGGGGGAAAAAATCATATACGGGGGGAAAAATATAATATAAAGGGGGAAAAATATAATATAAAGGGGGAAAAATATAATATAAAGGGGGAAAAATATAATATAAAGGGGGAAAAATATAATATAAAGGGGGAAAAATAATCAAGGGGGACGGGGGGGAAAAATAATAAAGGGGGAGCGGGGGGAAAAAATAATAAAGGGGGAGCGGGGGGAAAAAATAATAAAGGGGGAGCGGGGGGAAAAAATAATAAAGGGGGAGCGGGGGGAAAAAATATAATAAAGGGGGACAGGGGGGAAAAAATATAATAAAGGGGGACGGGGGAAAAATAATAAATAAAGGGGGACAGGGGGGAAAAATAATAAATAAAGGGGGACAGGGGGGAAAAATAATAAATAAAGGGGGACAGGGGGGAAAAATAATAAATAAAGGGGGACAGGGGGGAAAAATAATAAATAAAGGGGGACAGGGGGGAAAAATAATAAATAAAGGGGGACAGGGGGGAAAAATAATAAATAAAGGGGGACAGGGGGGAAAAATAATAAATAAAGGGGGACAGGGGGGAAAAATAATAATAAAGGGGGACAGGGGGGAAAATAATAATAAAGGGGGACAGGGGGGAAAAAATAATAATAAAGGGGGACATCTTTAGGATCATCCCTGCCAGCCCCACGTGCTTGTCGGGGTTTGTTCCCGCTCAGCAGCAAAGCCCACATGGTTTTTCCCGTTGAAAAAAAATATAAAAAGGCATTTTTCATTAATGAAAATCAAATTTTTTTTTGCCCAATTAAAATATGGGGGGAAAAATTAAAATATGGGGGGAAAAAATTAAAATATGGGGGGAAAAAATTAAAATATGGGGGGAAAAAATTAAAATATGGGGGGAAAAAATTAAAATATGGGGGGAAAAAATTAAAATATGGGGGGAAAAAATTAAAATATGGGGGGAAAAAATTAAAATATGGGGGGAAAAATTAAAATATGGGGGAAAAAATTAAAATATGGGGGAAAAAATTAAAATATGGGGGAAAAAATTAAAATATGGGGGAAAAAATTAAAATATGGGGGAAAAAATTAAAATATGGGGGAAAAATTAAAATATGGGGGAAAAAATTAAAATATGGGGGAAAAAATTAAAATATGGGGGAAAAAATTAAAATATGGGGGAAAAAATTAAAATATGGGGGAAAAAATTAAAATATGGGGGAAAAAATTAAAATATGGGGGAAAAAATTAAAATATGGGGGAAAAAATTAAAATATGGGGGAAAAAAATTAAAATAGGGAAAAAAATTAAAATTCCTGCTGGGCACACCAAAATAGCACAAATCCCAAAAAATTCCTGGAGCAGCTGCTGGGCCCCAGAAGTGCCAGGCTGGAAGGGTCTGGGGCAATCCTCAGGGGTTGGGATGGGCTTTAGGGTCATTCCAACCCGAAATCTGGGAATAACGTGATCCTACATCCTGTGCCACCCCAATCCCACAGATCCGGGGGATGTTCCTAAGGCAAACAGGGATTTGCAGGATTTCCCTGTAAATCCCTTCCAGGCCGGGATATGGGTATAAAAACCCTTTTATCAGATCACACCTGGGGATCCTCGGCTGCTGCTCCCCCGGATCCTTATATATATATATGGGAAAATAAATCCTTATATATATATATACATATGGGAAAATCAATCCCTATATAGATACACATATGGGAAAATAAAACCACTACATATATATGAGAAAATAAATCCCTCTATATATATATATGGGAAAATAAATATAGATATATATAGGGGGAAAAAATCCCTAAATATATATATATGGGAAAATAAATAGAGATATATATGGGGAAAAAAATCCCTATATACATTTATGAAAATAAATCCTTATATATATATATGGGAAAATAAATCCTTATATATATATACCTATGGGAAAATCAATCCCTATACATATATATGGGTAAATAAAACCCTACATATATATGGGAAAATCAATCCCTATATATATATACATATGGGAAAATAAATATAGATATATATGGGAAAATAAATCCCTATATATATATATATACACATATATATCCCTATATATATCCCTATATATATGGGAAAATATAGATATATGGGAAAAATAAATCCCTATATATATATACACATATGGGAAAATCAATCCCTATATATATACATATACACATATGGGAAAATAAAACCCTATACATATATGAGAAAATAAATGCCTAAATATATATATGGGAAAACAAATCTAGATATATATGGGAAAAGAAATCCCCACATATAAACGGGAATATAAATCCTTGGCTCCCAAGAATCCCACAACCCACTGAGCCGCCTCAGGGACAATTCCCATGGAAAGCCCCGGAAACCTCCAGCAGCTCCCGAGGGAGAGGCACCAGGAGCTGCAGCAGCACATGAAGCCAGGGGCCTGAAGATTTCAATAAATAAAATAAAAATAAATAAAACCCCAAATAAGAGCGGCAGAGAATGAGTCAGGGCCGCGTTACTCATCCACGGTTCTGTGTGAGGGCACCGGGATTTGCTAAATAAAAACCCACCCTGGGCATGGACATGGGCACATCCCGGCCTGGGGCTGCCAGGGGCTGCTGGCATCACCCCCGGCTGGATTCCCGGGAATTCAGCCCCGGGAAAGCCAACTGCCAGGGGAAATCCATGGGAAATCCATGGGAGCAGCCCCCAGCTCATCCCAAACATGGGAAATCCGTGGGATCAGCCCCCAGCTCATCCCAAACATGGGAAATCCATGGGAACAGCCCCTACAAACCCACAGCTCATCCCAGGGGTGGGAAATCCATGGGAGCAGCCCCCAGCTCATCCCAAACATGGGAAATCCATGGGAACAGCCCCTACAAACTCACAACTCATCCCAAACATGGGAAATCCATGGAAGCAGCCCCCAGCTCATCCCAAACATGGGAAACCCATGGGAACAGCCCCCAGCTCATCCCAAACATGGGAAATCCATGGGATCAGCCCCCAGCTCATCCCAAACATGGGAAATCCATGGGAACGGCCCCCAGCTCATCCCAAACATGGGAAATCCATGGGAACAGCCCCCAGCTCATCCCAAACATGGGAAATCCATGGGATCAGCCCCCAGCTCATCCCAAACAGGGACAGCGAGGGTGGCACCCCCGTGTGCCAGCAGCTCTGCTCTGCAGGGCCACCAAACCTCGTGTTTTGGCCAGCAGGGACCTCTGCCAGGGTGACCCAGAGGGGACCGAGCTGTGCCCCGGGGCACAGAGGAGAGGGTCCCACCCCCCCAGATCCCCCCGCAGCCCCAAAATCCCAAAGGAATCCCGGCACACCCCACAGGGGATCCCACCTGCTCCTGCTCCGGCTCCAGGATCGCCCCCGACCCCACCTCCCCCTCTGATAAGTGGGGACTAATTAGGGTAATTAATCAGCACCACCCCATGGGCACCAGCTGCGGCTGCCCCGGGATGCTCCAGAAGGTTGGGAATTGATTAATCCTTTAGGCTTCGGAACGGAGCTTTGGTCTCATTTAGGTGAAATTTCGCAGCTGTGTAAAGAAATCCAGAGAAACAAATTCTGCCCCGACACAATCCCGAGCTCCAGGAATGCCCACGGAGCCTTTCATTAAAATTTATTTTGTCTTTGGGTATCGGCCTGTTCACTTTTGGGTCTGTCTGCTTGTTCCACGGCCAATAGAGAACAATTCTTATTAAAATTAAATAAGAAAGAATTCTTCTTAAAATTCATTTCTTCCCGGAAAAGAAATGGGATGGGGAGTGGGGGCGGTGCTGGGAAACATCTGAGGCAGCAAGGGCAGAGGGAGACCTGGAGCTTCTGCCTCCAGCTGTGCAGGATTCCAGCTGTGCAGGGACCCAGCTGTGCAGGATTCCAGCTGTGCGGGGCTCCAGCTGTGCAGGATTCCAGCTGTGCAGGATTCCAGCTGTGCGGGATTCCGGCTGTGTAGGGACCCAGCTGTGCAGGGACCCAGCTGTGCAGGATTCCAGCTGTGCCGGATTCCAGCTGTGCAGGATTCCAGCTGTGCAGGATTCCAGCTGTGCAGGATTCCAGCTGTGCCCGGCTCCGCCGTGTCCCCGGAGCGGCCGTTCCCCGTTCCCGGGGCACTTCCCGGGCTGCGCAGCGCCGGGAGCTCGGCAGATGGAGCTGTGCAGCTGCGCAGGGCCGGGCCGGGGCCGGACAGATGTGCAGGGGCTGGGCAGATGTGCAGGGATAGGATGGGGCTGGACAGATGTGCGGGGGCCGGGCAGACGTGCAGGGGTTGGGCAGATGTGCAGGCACAGGATGGGGCTGGACAGATGTGCAGGGGCTGGACAGATGTGCGGGACCCGGACAGATGTGCCCGCACCCCCTGGCGCTGCCGTGCCCCCCAGGCCCACCCTGCTCCTGTCCCCCGCAGCGCAGGGACAGGGGCGGGGACAGTGCCACGCCAGGGTGGCAGAACCCCCCCGGCAGAGGGGCCTGGGGACAGGGACACCTCAGGAATGGGAATTCTTGGCTTTGGGCTCCTCGTGTCACCCCAAAAGGGACGTTTGGGAGAGCGAAAACACCCAAACCCATCCTAAAGCCATCAGCTGTGTGCCCCCAGTGTCCCCAGTGCCCCCAGTGCCC